TAGTTTGATTTTCCCACAAGGTTAGCGATGGCATTGCCCCCTTTTGCCACAAAATTCTGCATTTTCCTCAACGGAAATTAGTTCTAAAAACTACACAGATAGTTCTGCAAGATCTCTTAATCAGATGACATGATATTTCAGTTAGAAGACAGAAGAACCAGCCTGTTCTTCTATCATGCCCTAATACAATGCATGATGTGTACAAAAGATAGCATTCAGGCTCATAAATGAGCGCATTTTCTAATTAAAGAGGATTCCTGAAAAGACAGCGTTTGCCTGTGTTTCCCCATTTGCTTGGTTCTGCTTTTGCTGTGTGCATTGTTATGACTGTAGCTAATTTTACCATTTTGACAGCAGGAAACAGAAACTGTTCAAAAGAGGCTTGTCAACTGTCAAGTGATTTGTTTTGCTCTTTTAGACTATTTAATTTATTTGAGTCTTGCTTGGTTTTTATGGATAGATTTTATTATGCATATAAAACTAAATGGCTACAAAATATTCTTGTCCTCACAAGTAGTTCACCTCCAAGCTGAAACTGTTCTGGCTTTCCCTCCATCGCTTGTGATTTCATTGCTTTTGACCTGCCACTTTCTATATCCGTGCATTGTGGACACCAATTAATTTAGCCAGTTTGACCTTAGTGAAAACTCTCTTCACAATTTTTTACAGCTATTGCCTGGCTTGAAGTACATTAGGAATTTATTTTTTTTATTTTTTTATTTACGTCACTTTTATCCCGACCATATCAGCCCGAAGGCGACTCAAGGCGGCGTACAAATCAGCACAATCAGATGCCTTATAAAAATACATATATTGGTTAAAAGCACAAAAAATCACATTACAATACATTTAAAAACTGTAAAAGCAATAACAATAAAAATTATAAAAACTATGTCATCCTGTTCAAATCCTCAACCGTTCCATTGTCTTAGCCGTTCCTAGTTCATATTCCAAATTTGAGTTTATCTGGTTGTGTTGAAGTTCCAAACGCTTTCTCAAAGAGCCAGCTTTTCACTCTTTTTTGAAAAGTCAGGAAGGAGAGGGCCGATCTAATATCCCTAGGCAGGGAGTTCCACAGCCGAGGGGCCACCACAAAGACGTGCCTGTGAAGCAGGCGGGATTGAGAGCAGGGCCTCCTCAAACGATCTCAACTTCCTGGAAGGTTCATAGGGAGATATGCCTTCGGATAGATAAGCTGGGATTTTTAAGAAAATGGGATTTTGCCATATTCGGAGGGGTTGCCAAAGGCCATCAGAAAACAGTATTTTCTGTTTGTCATGGGGTTCTGTGTGGGAAGTTTGGCCCAATTCTCTCAGTGGTGAGGTTCGGAATTCTCTTTGAATGTTGGTCAACTATAAATCCCAGTAACTACAACTCCCAAATGTCAAGGTATATTTTCCTCAAACTCTTATCAGTGTTCACATTTGGGCATATTGAGTATCCGTGCCAAGTCTGGTTCAGATCCATCATTATTTGAGTCCACAGTGTTCTCTGGATGTAAGTGAACTACAACTCCCAAACTCAAGGTCAATGCCCAGCAAACCGTTCCAGTATTTTCTGTTGAACATGGGAGCTCTGTCTGCCAAGTTTGGTTCAATTCCATCGTTGGTGGAGTTCGGAATGCTCTTTGATTGTAGGTTAACTATAAATCCCAGCAACTACAACTCCCAAATGACAAAATCAATCCCCCCCCCCCACCCTACAAGTACTCAAATTTGAGCATATTGGGTATTTGTGCCAAATTTGGTCCAGTGAATGAAAATACTTCCTGCATATCACATATTTATATTATTTATTTATTTCAAATATTTGTACCCCACCCTTCTCAATCCCTGGAGGGGTGGGGGTCTGAGGGCAGCTTTCAACCAGCATGATTCGATGCCTACATGAGTATATAACAATACAAAGCAATGAAAACAACATCATTAGCATCTCCTTATTCTCAAGCATTGACCAGTTCCATTGTCAAATCGTTCGATTTCCTATATTAGCTACTTTGCATTTGTAAACGCTTGCTCAAACAGCCATGTTTTAACTTGCCTCCGAAACGTTAAGAGGGAGGGAGCAGATCTAATCTCCCTAGGGAGGGTGGTGAGGGGCCACCACTGAGAAGACCCTGTCTCTCGTCCCCACCAAATGTACTTGTGACAAAGGCAGGACCGAGAGCAGGGCCTCCCCAGACGATCTTAGAGTCTTCGATGGTTTGTAAGGGGAGACACGTTTGGACAGGTAAGTTGGGCCAGAACCGTGTAGGGCTTTATAGGCCAAAGCCAGCAATTTAAATTGGGCCCGGTAGCAAACCGGCAGCCAGTGGAGCTAGCGCAACAAGGGGGTTGTATGCTCCCTGAGCGCTGCTCCTGTTAGCAACCTGGCTGCTGTTTGTTGGACTAGTTGAAGCTTCCAGACCATCTTCAAAGTCAACCCCACGTAGAGAGCGTTGCAGTAGTCTATATAGGATGTGGTGGACATGCGAGATAGCCACAGCTTTTTGGAAAGAAATCCACGAGATATATCATCGGCAGATTCTTAGCACATTTTTGAAGAAAACATTTTGATTCAGATGCAAATTAATATTTTGCAAGGATTAAATATGTAAAAGGAAGTGGATAGCGAGGTTGATATTTCACTCACTCTCTTCACTCTTATCTTAAATATTTCAGGAAATTGTTTAAGTACAGCTCTTGAAACAGAATATGGGCAATTGCGGCCTACTGAACCACCATATTTTGTAATATATGAAGTCATGTTATGCAATCCTTTCGCTCTTAGAACAGCAGAAGGTAACATTCACATTCCCAAGCCCATATAAATAATGTCTTAGCACTGTGTTGGAGAGAATATTGTGAAATGCTGCGCTATGAAAACAGCGAGCTAGGCTTTTGTAAGCGTAATCGAAATTCTTTCCATTATGCGGTGGCTCCATCTGGTGTTTGATAGGAATATCTGTCTGTCTTTGGTAATAAGCAGTATCACTTGCCATAAAGCAATTTTGCATTCATGCAGATTGACAGATAGACACCCACGTTCATTACCTAAACTTTACTACATACTGCCGTGTGATGGAGGCTAACTATCACTGTAACGTGGAAGGAAAGTATTGCTGTTTTTTATAAAACCCAATTTAGTAATGTAGTTGTCAATCAGCAGTGAATATGTATGTATTCCATAATCGCTCTGCAAGGAGCAGTCACTAAATCACCTTCAGCAAAGTCTTTTGACGGAATATATTTCTCTGTACAGTGCGCTCCTCAGCTCCAATGTATATTCATTCAGACTAATTAGAAGCAAACAGGCATCTAATTTGGGATTGCTTCTGGATGTGTTCATACTGATACTCTTTTCCTGCTTTTTTAGTTATTTGCAAAACAGATTGCAGTTAATTTTGAAATATTGACTATTGACTAAGGCAGCGTATTGTGTGTATAACAATCCGAAGCAGAATTGCGTGGATGTTTCCACATTTGAGCCACATTTTGATGAGCAGCTTCCCATTCAGTTCTGCAACTGATCCAAATTTAAAATGAGATGGAGCAGTGCTTTGGTTGAAAATAATTCCCTTGCACAAACACTTGTCATATGGAACAGCAATCTTATTTTCGTATTTGAAGCACATCACTGCCTCTTGCAAGAAGTCCTGCCTGAATGTTCAGATTCCTCATAAAGGAAAAGGTAGTTAAACTGGTCAGTTAGAATGGCTGAAATATTTTGCTTTGCTTAATGTATTTTTATTTATTTTCTTCTGCAGGGTCAAAATTATATATAGACAGTTTATTTAGACTTCTAGCTTCATGGTTTATCCTCACAGCACAATCCTCTGGGGTATATCACAGTATTGATTTATTTATCATGTCAGGAGCGAACCAAATATTTGTATTGCATTAAAAACAAGCAAACAAGCAAACAACCAAAACACAAAGTTTGCAAACTTTGAAGTTGATTAAATGTCTTTTGACCAGTAGCTGGCCACTTGAAGTGCCTCTGGTGTTGCTGCAAGAAGGTCCTCCATTGTGCATGTGACAGGGCTCAGGTTGCATTGCAGTAGGTGGTCTGTGGTTTGCTCTTTTCCACACTCGCATGTTGTGGATTCCACTTTGTGTCCCCATTTCTTAAAGTTGGCTCTGCATCTCGTGGTGCCAGAGCGCAGTCTGTTCAGTGCCTTCCAAGTCGCCCAGTTTTCTGTGTGCCAAGAGGGGAGTCTCTCATTTGGTACCATTCATTGATTGAGGCTCTGGGTTTGAGCCTGCCACTTTTGGACTCTCGCTTGCTGAGGTGTTACAGCGAGTGTCTCTGTAGATCACAGTGAAAGGTAGCAATAGGTTGAAAGGGTCTAAATAAATTATTCAAGGTMCAGGTTATCACCTATAAAGCCCTAAATGGTTTGGGACCCGCCTACCTTCATGACCGTATCTCCCTCCATGAACCAKCTTGGGCCCTCCATTCTTCTGGGAGGCCCTTCTTTCACCCCTGCCAGTTTCACAAMCTCGCCAGGTAAGTACAAGGGGGAGAGCTTTTTCCTCTGTGGCCCCCCGACTCTGGAACTCACTACCTGGAGAAATTAGGAAAGCCCCTACCTTAGAAACTTTTAAAAAGAACCTTAAAACCTGGCTCTTCCGCTCCGCAAATAATCTTTTTCTTTCTTATCTCACCTGAGTTTTAATTAGTTTTTAATCAGTCTCTCTTTTAACCATGACATGTAACTCGCCCATTGTCATTGTGATTGTGCCTACTGTAATTTTATATTGCTATGTTTTCACATGTTCTATGTAATTATGTTGTTGTTGTTTATTGTTTGCATTTTCAGTTTTATTTTATTGTAACTTGTTGTTTGGGCTTTGCCTCATGTAAGCCACTCCAAGTCCCCATTGGGGAGATGGTGGCGGGGTATAAATAAAGATTATTATTATTATTATTAACTAGCTCTTTTAGTAGAATAGAGAAGCATGTATAATCACTTCTCAGTGATAGTTGGTTTCATGTCATTCTTTTCTTTTCTTTTTTAGAATGAACAAGGTTTCATTATGCGGATAAGTTAATGAAGAAGAGTGATAAGAAATGAATGCTCTTACCATGCACTGAACAGCTTGTGAGAATCCGGTGCTTAGGCCTGGGAAAATGTCTGCTTGCAATGCCTTCACTGAACATGTCTGGAAACCAGGAGAATGTAAAAACTGCTTCAAGCCAAAAAACATGCACCAGTTGCCTCCAGCCCCTGAAAAACCTCCAGCTTCAAATACGAATCTAAAAACCAATGCAACCCACAACAACAACCAGCGTTCAAGAAACACAGGGAATTTCCGACCTCCTGTGGCAAAGAAGCCCACGATAGCTGTGAAACCCACCATGATGACAGTAGATGGACAGGTCATATGTGGTGAAGCCAGCTCACCAGATCCTTGTGAGAACAAGCCAGTTCCTGGGGGATGGAATCAAAACAGAGCGGTTGCAAACAAGAAAACCCTGAACAATAATAACGAGGAAGACATTGAAGGTTACAGCCACGCACATCGGCCTTTTGGGAATAGCGACGAGGTGGGTAAATCTCCAAGCAACAATAACGGACTGACGGATGTGCTGAAAGAAATTGCAGGTTTGGAGACCTCGTCTCATCTTGCAGGAAATGAACTTAATTCCAGGGAAGCTTTCTTGGGAAGAATCAACAACTGTTACAAGCGCTCATTAGAAAGAAAGCTGCCTCCAAGTTGTATGATGGGTGGAATGAAAGATTCACAAAACAAGCACGTGGTTCTGAGTGGAAGTACGGATGTCATAAGTAACGAAGGGGGTCGTTTCTGTTACCCAGAATTCTCCAGTGGGGATGAAAGCGAGGATGACCTCTTTTTTGGCAGCGTCCACGAAGACCACGAGAGCTGGGACGAAAGTGACGAAGAGCTGCTAGCAATGGAGATTCGTATGAGGGGGCAGCCACGTTTTGCAAACTTTAGGGCTAATACGCTCTCCCCGGTCCGGTTTTGTGTTGACAAAAAATGGAATACAGTGCCTTTAAGGAACAAGTCTCTCCAGAGATTTTGTGCAGTGGATTATGATGACAGTTATGATGAAATTTTGAATGGTTATGGAGACGAACCCATGATCCTTTATGGGCAAGAAAGCATGCAGAGTATGGTCTCATCTGATTCCATGTCTCCGGACTCTTCTCTCACGGAAGAGTCTTGCTCAGGGACAGCCAGTAGTTCTTCCCAAAGGCTCTGTAATGGTGCATTGTCTCCTAGCACTCCTAAAGAAGAAGGATATAAAGGGTTTGGTGACGATCAGCAACAAAAAGCTGCATCGAAAAGCCCTCAGAATGTTACCAAAACTTTGGAGACTCACAAGGCTGTGCTGGCCCTTCGGCTGGAAGAGAAGGATGGCAAGATGGCTGTTCAGAGTGATAAGCCAGACTGCAGAAGTCCCTCAGGTTTGCCAGCTCAAGCAACAAATCCTAATGTGGTCCATTCAGAAGAACAAGCCAAACCTTATCGAGTAGTCAATATGGAACAGCCCATTTGTAAGCCATACACTGTAGTGGATGTATCCGCAGCCATGACTCATGAATGTAAAGAAAACCAAGCAAAAAGCGTAGATTCAAACAGTGCTCCGTCTAGTTCGTCTGACACTCCAAGTGCAAATCCTGCACCTAATTCTGTATCCACAGGTCAAATTAATCCCAATCTTAAAAAATCGAGTGCAGTCAGGTACCAGGAGGTTTGGACTTCCAGTACAAGTCCACGACAAAAGATCCCCAAAGTGGAGTTGATTGCCAACGCTCCCGGACCTTCTGTACCCGTACGGAAAAACATACATAAATCTGCCCCGACTTCGCCGACTTCCACAAACCTTTCTACGAAAACAATCCCTGTGAAATCTCCCAACTTGTCAGAAATCAAATTCAATAGTTACAACAATGCCGGCATGCCACCATTCCCAATTATTATTCACGATGAGCCAACTTATGCCAGGAGCTCCAAGAACGCCATCAAAGTTCCCATTGTCATCAACCCAAATGCATACGACAATTTAGCTATTTATAAAAGTTTTCTGGGAACGAGCGGAGAGCTGTCTGTTAAAGATAAAACCAGAAGTGTCATCAGCCACACGTATGAAGAAATAGAAGCCAAAAGCACTGCTAGTAAATCCGAACTTTTCCAAACAAAAGGTTCAGTGAATAGCACTGAAAGAAAGATGGGTTCTGTGGCTCAAAAGGTTCAGGAATTTAACAGCTGTCTTGGTAAAGTTCAGGCGTCACCCAAAAACCCTGATCCCAGCTCCCCAACAAACGTACAAAGGGCTATTCAAAACACTGGAGCCAGAACAGACAATTCACCGGAGGTCTCCAATGGCGGTCGAGAAAACGCTTGCATGGTGCTCTCCCAGATTGTCGCTTCCATTCAGCCTCCGCAGTCTCCCCCAGAAGCATCTCAGAGTGCGCCCAAGTCTTGCAGTGCCGAAGAACTCTATTCTTTACCCCCCGATGCAGACGCAGGGAAAGGTGCCCCCCCAGTGAGGCCCAAATCTCTCTTTACACTACAATCCAATGCTGATGCTGAAGCCGTACAATCCATGGAAGTGATATCCAAGGAAATCCCATTAAAGTCACCGGTCGCTCAGTCCCCAATGCTGGTGTCACCTTCCCACAGTTCCTCCAGCCCCAAAAGTGAGCAGGCTCCCCCATTCCCTCCGCCCCGTTCCACATCCTCGCCTTATCACGCCAGCAAAGTGTTGCAACGCCATTTCAGCAATTGGACCAAACCCTTGAGCCCTGTCCGGTCGACAGAGGCGGAGTCTGTTTTGCACTCCGAAAGTCGGCGGGCTGTTGATGCCAAGCCCAAGCGCTGGATCTCATTTAAGAGCTTCTTTCGCCGCAGAAAGACCGACGATGAGGAAGACCGCGAGAGGGAGAAGGGGAAACTGGTGGGTCTGGACGGGACGGTGATTCACATGCTCCCACCGCCTCCGGTTCAGCGTCACAATTGGTTCAGCGAGTCCAAAACGGATGCCAGCGAGAAACCCTCAATTGTTTTTATGTTCAAATGCGAACAAGCAAAGATGGAGGCCAGATCCAATCAACAGAAGGCCGAGCTGGAAAGAGCCGATTCTGCGACAATAGAGAGAGAAGACGGAGAACAGTCTCCCGAGGTGTCAGAAGAAAATTTGAGCAGCTGTTCTTCACCACCACAAGTTCCAAGGGAAATTCTAAGGTAAAATAATACTTATTTTTATTTATTTTGGGTATTTATGCCCCGCCCTTCTCAATCCCCTGGGGGGGACGGGACTCAGGGTGGCTTCCAGCTGGCACATATTCAATGCCTACAATCTATATAAATAAAAATGTAATGTTCGTTTGTGGGATTAACAGAACTCAAAAACCACTGGGGGAATTAACACCAAATTTGGGCACAAGACACCTAACAACCCAATGTATGTCCTTCACTCATAAAACACTGAAAAACACAGCAGAAGGGACTTAAAAAGCTCCAAAAAGCTAAATGATGAAAAGCTAAATGACAATACAGAAAAAGGGGAAGAAAGAGGGGGGGAAGAGAAGAAAAAAAAAGAAAAAGAAAGAAAGAGGGAGGGAGGGAAAGAAAGAAAGAAGGAAGCATGGAAGCAAAGAGAGAAGGAAGGAAGGAAGGAAGGAAGGAAGGAAGGAAGGAAGGAAGGAAGGAATAAAAGAGGTAGAGAAGGAAGAAAGGAGGGAAAGAAAAAGGGGGAAGGAAGCAAAGTTAGAGAAGGAAGGAAGGAGAGAAGGAAAGAAAAAAGGGATAGAAGGAAGGCAAGAGGGAGCGAAGGAAGGGGGGAAGATGTAGAGAAAGAGGGAGGGAAGGAAAGAGAGACAGCAGAAGAGAAAGAGAAAGGGGAAAGGAAGGAAGAAGAGATGGGAAGGAAGGACAGAAGGAAAGAGGGAGTGAAGGAAGGAGGGAAAGAGGGAAGGTTGGCCTCAGCAAAGTGTGGCAGGTACAGCTAGTTAAACACAATAAAATACACATCAAAATCAGTAGTTATAAATAATTAAAAACATTAAGTTAATACAATAAAATCCATTAGAAAAGAAAGCCAGTCTGGTGGCCATTGTCTCACCAAGTTCTGTAATTGGAGACTTCATTCAGCTTGTCCATAATCCATTTCCATAGCTGTTGTTGACATTGTCCTCGTCAAGTCTGCAAGATTATCCAAAGGCCTGATCCCACATCCACGTTTTTAATTTCCTTCTAAAGGAGAGGAGGGATGAAGATTACCTAATTTCCCCAGGAAGTAAATTCCACAGATGGGGGGGCACCACCAAGAAGGCCCTGTCCTCATCTCCTCCAACCGTGTTTGTGACAGGGGTGGGGCCGAGAACAGGGCCTCTGTAGAAGATCTTAAACTCCTAGGTGGGATGTAGAAGGAGATACATTCGGACAGGTATGCTGGGCCGGAGCCGTATAGGGTTGTATAGATCAAGACCAGCACTTTGAATTGTGCTCAGAACTGGATCGGCAGCCAGTGGAGCTGGCGTAATAGAAATCTTTGCCCATTATGTCATATATGATTTCCTATTTTTCCCCAAAATGTAAATACTACATGTGTTATAACATTACTTTATATTCACTGGGCAGACGTGTTGGGCAAGTGGCCTTATTAATGAAAGACCCTCCCCATGAATGTATAGCAGAGTAACTTATTTTAAGCAGCGTGACCCAGCACCAGTAGCCCAAAGTGATAAAAAAGAACAAAAAAAACACACAGACCAATGTTATCTCTTCCATAGGAGGCTTTTCTTTATAGCAAAATAATATGGTGGTACTATTTACAAGATCAAGGTTTCCATAACACAAATGAAATTCTTTCTACTTCCTACTTTGCTTCCACGCTCGGATTCTTTGTCATGCAAATTAAAAACTTTGCTCTCACAGAGCTTCTTCTCACATTAAACTTACAGAGGAGCTTTACATAGTAGCCTTTTACACGTTAGAGCTCGACACACAAGGCTTTCAACCTGAGACTTTTCTCACCCAAGCCTTCTCACACCAGGCCTTTCGCACACTGAGGCATTCTCATGCTGAGGCAAACGAACACTGAGGCCTACTAAGCTACAGGCCCACTTACTTATATTGAACTGCAGCTTTTGCTGAGTCATTGCATCCATTTAACCCTTTCAGTGCTTGACTCACATTCGTGTAATTGAAAATACCTAGTTAATTTTTAATACTGTATATACTCAAGTATAAGCCTAATTTTTCAGCCCCCTTTTTAGGCTGAAAAAGCTTCCCTCGGCTTAAACCTGAGTCAAGGTTATTTATTATTTTACGCTGTTATTAGTATTATTAGTAGTATATTAGTTTTATTTCATGTATTATTTTACTCTTTTTATTTTCATTACATTTATAGTATTTTACCCTATTATTATTATTACATTTATTATTTTACACTATTTATAATTATTATTAAATTTATTGTTTTACTTTATTATGGCATTTATTGTTTTACTCTATTATTACATTTATTATTGCATCTACGGTATTTCTGACAACATGTTCATGAATACTAAACATCCCCAGATTTGCTTCTCTAAGCAAGGAATATGGCAGTAACATAAGTCATAGTGTGTCTTCTTGAGGGAAAAATATATAAGACAGTGTCTTATTTTGGGGGAAACACAGTACTGGAAATTGTGCTAAATGCAAACAAAGCAAGAATGAAAAACTAAAGGAAATACTGATATTATAAAATGAGGTAATGTTCCTGCCCAATGGCTTCGTGTTATCTCTTTCAGCGATTATTATACTTAGCTTTTTTTGAATATTTGCATTCATTGCTCCTTAAAGGGAGGGAGAAGATAAAGCTTCTAGGAAATGTAAAGGATGCTCTTCTAAGAAATGTGCAATTCTATCATAGTTTAAGTATGTGGCAATCTTACAAGCTTTTCTCTTTCCAGCTGTATGTATGTGCATTTATGCATGTATGTGTGTACGTATACATATAAATATCTATTTTAAAGGACGATAAACTTCTGTTGGCCATCTAACAAGGCAAACTTGTGATACAAATTGTACGAGCATAGACACTGAGAACTGGGAAGCCCTGACCCTTGAGCGCTTCAGCTGGAGGTCAGCTGTGACCAGCAGTGCTGCAGAATTTAAAGAGGCACGAATGGAGGGTGAAAGAGAGAAACGTGCCAAGAGGAAGGTGCGTCAAGCCAACCCCGACAGAGACCACCTTCCACCTGGAAACCAATGCCCTCACTGCGGGAGAAGATGCAGATTAAGAATAGGGCTCCACAGTCACCTATGGACCCACCAGAAAACTGATCCTAGAAGACTATCCTTGAGAAGACTATCTCTTGAGAAGACAAGCGGACAAATGTCAGCATGCTGGAATAAGCAAAGACCATCAGCATTGAAGCGATGGTCCTCCGCCATCAACTCCGCTGGACCAGCCACATTGTCCGGATGCCTGACCACCATCTCCCAAAGCAGTTGCTCTACTCTGAATTCAAGAATGGGAAACGGAATGTTGGAGGACAGGAAAAGAGATTTAAAGATGGGCTCAAAGCCAACCTTAAAAACTCTGGGATAGACACTTAGAACTGGGAAGCCCTGGCCCTTGAATGCTCCAGCTGGAGGTCAGCTGTGACCAGCAGTGCTGTAGAATTTGAATAGGCACGAATGGAGGGAGAAAGAGAGAAACGTGCCAAGAGGAAGGCGCATCAAGCCAACCCTGACTGGGGCTGCCTTCCACCTGGAAGCCCATGCCCTCACTGCAGGAGAAGATGCAGATCAAGAATAGGGCTCCACAGTCACCTATGGACCCACCAGAATACTGATCCTGGGAGACTATCCTACTCGGCCAATGAGGGATCGCCTAAGTAAGTAAGTATGAGGGTGGAATGAAAAGTAATGCCTCCACCTTCATGACTCCTCAACAGATGGCAGTACTGGTATGTGGCAGGTACTGGCTTGTTCAGTAGATCCTCCTCTACAGTTCCATTTTGGCAGGAAGCCTTAGCATTGAATGGTTGTGTTATTAAAGTGCAAAGTATGGAACCTTGTGCAGACGGTCAATCAATGCAACTAAAGCAAGGTGCAGTCATTGAATTCTTGACCACAGAAGGCGTCACCCCAAAGGAGATTCATCAGAGAATAATAATAATAATAATACTTTATTTATAACCCGCCACCATCTCCCCAAGGGGACTCGGGGCGGCTTACATGAGGCCAAGCCCAACAACACATCAGTAAAACAACAAAGCAATATGCAAATAAAACAATACAATTAATATAACTCACATATAAGCAATAACAGACAAACCTTATTTAAAACCTTCTGGCCAAGCCAGATGTAATAGATTAAAATTTTAAAATGAACACTGGGCACAAACAGAATTAGGATGTATCTAAGCAGGAGGGTTTTGAAGGATAATGTAGGGAGACCAACCCAACGGGTAGTTAAGGTGTTTCTGGGGACATTTTGCAGGGAATTGGTCAGAGCAGGGCATTGTTTCCTTTATTCAGGGAAGGCACACTGGAACAGCCACGTTTTCAGGCTCCTCCTAAAGACTGCCAATCTGGGGGCTTGCCTGATATCCTTGGTGAGTGAGTTCATGAGTCAGGGGGCCACCATAGAGAAGGCCCTCTCCCTCGTCCCCACCAATTGCGCCTGCGAGGGAGGTGGGAGCGAGAGCAGGGCCTCTCCAGATGATCGAAGAAATCGAATGCAAACTGTTTATGGTGATTGTATTGATGCGAGTGCTGTGCGTCTTTGGGTGAGTAAGCTTAAAGATGTTGAGGTGGGAAAATCTGACTTACGTGACAAACAAAGAGTTGGACGTCCTGTGACAGCAACCACCGAGTTTCACAAGCAAAAGGTTGACAGATTGATTCAGGACGATCGTCATATCACTCAGAGAGAAATTTCAAGCATAATCGGCATTTCACAAGAATGTGTGGGTCACATTATTGCTTTGCTTGGCTATCAGAAGATCTGTGCTTGATGGGTACCCAGGATGCTGACGCCTGAAATGAAAGCGCACAGACTTGAAACGTCAGAGACTGGATCTCCCCACCGTACGACATCCTCCATACTGTCCAGATTTAGCACCGTCTGACTTCCATCTGTTCCCAATAATGAAAGAAGATCTGCGGGGACATCATGATGCTTCTGATGAAGATGTTGAGAAAACTGTGAGACACTGGTTGCAGAAACAAAGTGTCAACTTCTT